GTCTAAATTGTAATCATACTAAAAGAATAACAAAATTTTTTCATATCATGATGTCAATGTTTTCTGTCATTTATTTAGAAATAGGACAGAATGTATGGTGTGCATTTGTCTTTAGCTTGAAGATAACCAGACTCACGCTCTCTGAGTTGGATAGAGTATTTCTACCCTTTCGTCCCTTTATTCATCTAAAGCAGAACTCATGGTGCTGAACATTGCTACTACATCATCTCTAGGCTCTGTGTCATGTGAAATACAGCACATAATCACCATTCCTATGAAACTGCTTCTGCACTTAAATCCAAACAAATGTGTCTCTGTCCAGACTGAAAACCATTACCAGCTCCTGAGCTAGTAGCTAAAAGCTAACTTGGAAATTAACTAAATTTTAATTTTTTAATTAGTTATGTCACTAAAATCTAATTTTGGTCCTATATTTAGAGATCTTGGGTTTATAGTTTGCAGTGGTTTTAGCGCTTTTCACTTAGAATTGTTTCATCTGCCGGGAGTGGTGGCACATGCCTTGCACTCCCAGCATTTGAGAAGTGGAGTAAGAAGTCCAGGAGTTCAAGGCCAAACTGATCTATGTGAAAGCCTGTCTCAAAAAAGCAAACAACAAAAATGGCTTTTTCTGATTTTCAAAAACATACTATTTAATATGATAATATTTCATATTGATTCTGTTCTGAAACCACTAACCATGTTAGTGACATATCAAAGTTAAAACAAAATTTTTAAGCGATTAAGTCACTCATTGAAATCCATATATTTGAACATTAGATTGTTAAATGGTTTCTCACTGAAATACATATGTGTGAACATTAGGTTGTTAATTTCTCTGTTATAATATTTTAACTCAAATTGGTATTTTAAATGCAAAGAAAGATGATCAATCAGCTTGTTAGATTCTCTCCTACACATATTTTGCCTTTTGAAAAACAGAGGAGGTGGTATTTAAATGTCAGATTATTCATGCAGTATTAAGGTTCAGGTTTAGAAACGCAGACTTGACAAGAAAGATTTATAGCTCAGTAGTTGCTGTGCTTTGCCCTAGCAGTATGTATACTGCTTTTCTCTATATATTTAAATTTCATTCGTGAGCGCCGTAGTCTCTATGACAAGAGCCAGCTATGGTTCCCACAGCAACTCTGGCTGGCTGTATTACCCATGAGAATATAAAAGTTAATATTGTGTTCAAAAATGGTACTCAAAAATAATCAGGTAACAGCTGTTATTGAAACCTAATTTTAGTCTTTGACTTACATAATTTTAAAAAATCTTAGCTTCACTATATGTAATATAAATATTATCCCATTCGTAATGAGCATCGAGAATGCACAAAAAGATTCTACATAAAATATAGGGGCATAAATCTCACTATATACTGATCAGAGAATTCACTTATTTTTGCTGAAGGAAAATCAACATTCACATGAAGGGTAATCCATTAGCAGCCTAGTGGCCATTCCCATCTGTGTGGTCCCAAAGTTCATCTCCAGGTTTGGATCCTCCCCAGGATACACTGGTAGATGGCTAAGATTTATTACAGCCAAAGATTACAAAGCCAAGTCAGTAAAGGGAAAAGGCAGTTCAGAGAAGTCCATGGAGACCAGGCACAGGCTGCAGGAACCTCCCCCAGTGGAGTCATAGGGTGCATTCCAGCCCTAGCAGTGAATTGTAAAACACATGTGAAATGTGTGAGACTCAGCACCCGGTGTTTTTACCAGCAGCTGGTCACCTGTGCCCTCTCTACCTAACAAATAACAAAGTCAGGCCTGGATTCCAAACTGAAAGCAGTGTTCAGCATAAACCGTGTATTTGTACTAACTGTGGTGAACCATGCTTGTCCCTCAGGGAGTTTCAGGCAGGGTAAAGAACTGGTACCTTGCAAGTTCCCTGCCAGACACCAGACTTGCAAAGCAGTATTTCTGAGGTTGGCACTCTCAGGTGTGCTGTGTTAAATCTTTTCTGCACACATTGTGTATCCTAAATAACAAACACATATCCATATATACCATATATACCACTACATTTTTACTAAAGACGCCATTGTTAATGTTTTTTTAAATGTCACTTAAAGAAGGGTTCTTTTCTTTTTTCTTTTCTTTTTTGGAGATAGGGTGTCATGTATCCCAGACTGGCCTCAGATTCACTATAGTGCCTAGGATGACTTTGAACTTCTGAATCTCTTGCCTCCACCACCCAAGTGATAGGATTATAGGCGTACACGACCATACTGGGGATTACATATATGACTTGCTTCATTCATGGTAGGCAAGTAATCTACCAACTGAGCTAGATTCCAACCCACTAGATGTCATTTTCATGAAATATAAAAGCTTTTCTTCCATTTGCATAAAACCCAGAGCCATTTTTAACATTTGTTTTTGTCATTTAGTATCTTATTCACACCTGCTTTGAGATAGACCTTTACTCTAGTGGTCTGGTGAGCAGATGATTATAACACTGACTACTTATATGGGGAGGGAAAGGACTGAGAATTGGTAAGAGCCTTCTGCAACCATCTAGATTTGTGATAGTTCCCATAGAACAGAGATACCATACACATGGTAGTAGTATTTGTAAATATATTTTAATGGCCCAGCTCGCCAATAGAGGCTGATTAACGTTCCCCGGAGTACTACTAGGTAGTGTATAAATTGGCACCTCATCTGTAGAAAGCCGACTGTGTGAAAGTGTTCTATCTTTTGCAGATTTGACTAATGTATAGCATCTTTTTTACTATACAAAAAAAAAATAAACCTTTTACTGATATTGCAGATATTTTAGAACTTTCTGTACCTCATTTAGAGAAATGGTTTCTTAAAATTGATTCCAGGATACTGTGACCAGTAGGTAATAGATCGGTGCTTCTTGGCAGTTTGCAAAGCTTTCTTTGACTCTTTTAATCCTAGTAAATTTTATTCTAGTGCATGAAAAATTGTTACCAGTTATATAATCTTTTCCCATGCCAATAATTGCAGAGTACTAGTAATACTTTTCCCTTCTATCAGCCAGAAATCAATTTTATAATTTCTATAAGTAAACTCAGTGAAGACAAATTTAATTTGGTCTTATTTTATCGCTAAAAGAGAAAAACAGTAAAACCAGTTAGTGAATTTGAATCATGGTTACCATAACAACATAAACTGACTGGTTTTTTGGATCTAACTACAATTTTGAAAAATAAATTTGTAAATTTAAATTTGTAGAAAATAATAGTCATTCCAGAATTGAAATACACTAGCCTATAATTGGTGCCAAAAGCAGAATAGTCTGCAGGGTGTGCTCAATTCAGAGTGAGTTCCGTAGTTTACCATGTTACATCGTATAATTGACAGCGTGGTTCAGAGTATCAGCCGTATTTGTAGTGCTGTCCTTACAGAACAAGGCTATGGTCATCCATTCTTTCCCTCACTCTATCAGAGTTTCCTGCATTAAATCAAATGGGCGGTGCAAAGCCAAGAAGAAAGGAACCTCCCTTTAGATTCCTAATGACTTTTTTTTCTTTTTTTTCTTTGGACTTTTTGAGACAGGGTCTCCCTGTAGCCCCAGCTGTCCTGGAACTTACTATGTAGACCAGGTTGGCCTTGAACTCACAGAGATCCGCCTGCCTCTGCCTCCCAAGTGCTGGAACTTCAGGCATGCGCCACCACGCCCAGCTTCTAATGGCTTTTCTAATGCAGACTGTCCTTAGACATTTTGGAAACATAGATAATGGACTTGCTATGTTCCACGTTCTTTCTTAGATTCAAATATTCAGCCTTGGGCTAGAGAGATGACTCAGCAGTTAAAAGCACTGGCTGCTTTTGCAGAGGACCTGGGTTTGGCTCCCAGCACCAATGTGGCAGTTGACAACTGTCTATAATTCCAGTTCCAATGAATATGAATACAGCAGACCTCTTCTGGCCTCCACAAGCATTATGTGCTCAGGTCCACTTACATAATGCACACATACATACACATGAAATAAAACTCATACACATAAAACAAAAATAAACTAATCCAAAAAAATTTTTTTAAATTCAGTCTCAGAACATTAAAGTGGTATTCTAATAGGAAGGATGAAAAAAAAATTTTAATGCATTATTTTTAGGCATATTAATATAAGCCATTTTCATAAATGTTTGTAATCCTGGCTGCTCAGGAGACTGAGTCAAGATGATCATTTGCACCCAGGAGTTTGAGGCCAATCTGGCAATATTACAAGAGCCCATCTTCTGGAGGGGGTTGGGGGGGCAAATATTAAAGAAATAGCTTGGTAGCATTTTTGACTCCTGGAAACACTGCAGCTCTACCTTTGAACATCCTTTTCTGTCTCCTCTACCACCACCATCTCATTCGAGTCTCTGGAGTGGTTCCTTAAAGCATCTGATCATTACATGTCTTTCTTGCTTTACCTATACCTGTAAAGTGAGCACTGTAGCCCCAGAAATCTGCATTTTAGAAATTTGTCTCCTCAGTAATTTTAGTCCTTTCTGTACTATTTCACAGTAGCAGAATTATGCTTGAAAGTTTGTATACTAATAAATGAAATAGTCTCCTGTGCTGTGAAGGCAGTGTGGTTTTTACAGGCATTTTTAGGATTCCTCCTTTTCAAAATACACTTACTGATCCTCATTTGCTGTTTTCTCTGCTTAGATTATAAGTGTAATGTCTGCGCCTCAGAGAGGTTTGTAATGAGACCCAAGGGAATCTCTTGAAGATGAGTAAGCCTTCTGATAGTGTTGGGAAGGCTCTGTGCATATGCACATGAAGTTTCTAAAGACTGGTCTATGTTCTTAAAGGGAGTTCATGTCTAAAACAAGAACTCTAAGGGATTTAGTTCTTTACCTGACTCATTCATTCTTTAAGACTGCTATGTAGACTGTAATATGTAGGTAATAGTATCTGAAGGTCATCACTGCCTATTTTTGTTTATATAATGACCTGTCCCCTGTATAAAATGTATATGACTCAAAACAGAAGTGTCCTGATTCTTGGAATGTGCTGTGTTTGGGCAGGTCCGATTCCCATCCCACTTCAGTTCTGATCTCAAGGACCTTCTACGGAACCTGCTGCAGGTGGATCTGACGAAGCGATTTGGAAATCTGAAGAATGGTGTGAGCGACATAAAGACCCATAAGTGGTTTGCCACAACTGATTGGATTGCTATTTACCAGAGGAAGGTGTGGCTTTCTTTGTAATTTAAAAGTCTTTGGAAAGTAGTGGTTGAAATTTTGTGTAACAGAGATGTTTTCAACTCAGCAGGGGTTTTTTTTGTTTTGTTTTGTTTTTATTATTTATTTAATAACCACATAATTAGAAGAGGCATTTCATTATAACAGCATTGACATATTCAATAACAGTTTCCAGAGCTAAGACACTTCTCTTTCAAAATTGACTGTAAATTTTTAGGTTTACAGTTGAATTAATACAGTTATACAATATTGTACTCAGTATAAAC